GCAGGGCTTCCTCTCCGGCTTCTTCACCCGGGACCAGAGCTGTCCGCTCATGCTCCAGAAGACGCTAGAGACGAGTAGGGGCGGTGACCTGGGCGCTGGGGTCGGGGGTGGCATCAGACCCGGGGCGAGGAAGGGCGGGGACCCCACTGAGTCCGGGGCTCCACTGCAGCCCCAGAGCTGCGTGGGCCTCCCGCACCACTCTTACTTGTGAACGCACGCGCTAAGAGTCCGCCCTTTTGGGTCACACTCACTAGTTTCTTATGTAAGTTATGCAGCAGCAAGGGCTGTAGGGTGACGGCGAGGAGAACTGGAAAGAACTCCATTAATATGCTTTTACTTCTGGCTGTGCGCCCTTCCCTGGAGTGGGGGGTGGGGATTCTTTAAGCCTCATTCATTCTGTAGGGACAGAGGGGAATGCTAGAGTAGAAACTCTTGATAAGTCCCGTGTTTATGCACCTAAGTGCGTTTTGCTAGGGAGAAAGCTCCTAGCTTCATCGTGTTCTCTCAAAAGAGGCCCATGACTTCTAAAACGTTAATCATTGCCACCGGTCAGGCAGGCGCACAGGTTCAAACCGAGCAAATTCTCACCAGTCCCAGGCTCTAGATAGAGCCTTGCTCCTTTGCATCGGCATTGATTGCCTGTCTACTTCAGATCTGTTTAGGGAAATAAGAGTTAAATGTATTTGTCCCAAATAAGGTTTCATAGCAGAATTGGTCATAATTTAATAGTCAACTGATCAAAGATTTTACTCTCTTCCTTTTAAAACAATGTTTTAAAATTTATTTTCATTTTATGTGCATTGGTATTTTGCCATGGGTGTCGGGTCCCTTGGAACTGGAGTTACAGACAGGTGTGGGTGCCAGGAATTGAACCCAGCCCCCCCGAAAGAGCAGCCAGTGCTCTAACTACTGAGCCCTCTCTCCAGTCCCTTACTCTTTTCTTTAAAAAAAAAAATTAAGGTTTATTTTATATGTATGATTGTTTTGCCTGCATGTATGTCTGTGCACCACCTGTGTTCCTGGCATTCAGGACTGTGAGCCACATGTGGATAATGGGAACTGAACCCAGGTCCTCTGCAAGAGCAAGCAGCAAGTGCTCCTAACCCCTGAGCCATCATTTTAGCTAGCTCGCTCCCTCCCTCCCTCCCTCCCTCCCTCCCTCCCTCCCTCCCTCCCTCCACCTCCTTCTCTTCCCCACTCCCCAGAGGTGACGACTGAACCAAAGGTCTTGCACTTGCTGGGTGAGGCTCTACCTTGGACTCAATCCCTAACCGCCCCCCCTTCTTTATTAACCACAGACTCACACTCTTCCAGGCACCACTGCAGAACTGGTCGGCATGTCCTTTTCTTGGAATGCCCCATTTGGGATGTGGTCCTCAGAATGGGGCCTGATGTTGCCAGGGAGAACAGTGTAGGCAAAATCTACAAGTTCTCAAATCCAAGCGCTATGCGGGTTTTGTTTTTCTGACCATGGCCCAAGACTCCCCTGGTCTTCCCATATGTGCTGTGATCCAGTGTTTAAACGAAGCCAGCCTCTCCTGTAGGTGTCATTTTGATCTTTGTGTTAATGTTTTATTTCGTTCAGCTTGACTTGCTGTTCATTCACATGTTTCATAAAAACTGATTTTAAGAGAGTGTTGGTGAGTTGTGTGATGTCTGCTGTTTGGGTGGTTATTTGGTGCTGCATTTTCTAACTGCATGCTTCTCACTGTCTTTGTAGACCCATACGTCAAAGTTCTCCTTGATGCTATGAAACACTCAGGCTGGTAAGTAAGCCTTTTCAGAAATGTCACTGTATCTTCTGGAGCTCCCAGAGCTAACACTGCAGAGCTCTCATCCTTGAGATGAGACACTTTGAACACAGCCTGCTCCTCTCCGTCCACGGCAGTATTTACAGCTTGTCTCGACAGTAATTCCCACACTCAGCCCTTACATTCCTCCAGCCTCGGGCATTGTGGTGAAGACACCTTAGCTTGGATTAATTAGGAGGAGGCTTCCAGTTATTAACTCAGAGTGGGTTAGAGGAAATGGCTTCTGATGTCTACTTCTTAATACCCTGACCCATCACATTTCCGGTGTGGTCCTCGTCAGGTGACCAACTCCTTGATTCACATTATAGAATGTGAAGTAGTGTGGAATCTGCAGAGGCGATCTCTTTTCGCCCACAGGCGAGAAGGCTGAGTCCCCACTGTGTTAAATGTCTTGCCAGGTTCTGCAGGCGTTAGTGCTGGGAGGGCTGTGCCGTGTGGACCAGGGTGTCCCGGCCAGGGCTGCTTCCTTCATACACGCTGCTCACATCTCTCCATTCCAGCGCTGTTAACAAAGAGAGACACTTCTCCTGCGAAGACTGTGACGGAAATGTCAGCGGAGGGTTCGATGCCTCAGCGTCTCAGGTGGGTCTCTTTACCCAATCTTCTTCCCTCTCCTCCCAGCAGATACTCGCTGATTTCATGTGCTGAGCCTTCAGTTTGGTAGACTTTGCCAAGGACTTAAAAAAACAGACCAGTCACGGTCTTCACTCTCAGGGCGTGGTACTCTTCCAAAGGAGATAAGACAGGGACTCCTTAAACAGGAAATTTGAAGCAGGTTAGGATCGGTGTGGTAACTTCTGGTTCCTGTAACAAGCAGCTAAGTTGTCTATGCCCCATATGCGTGACTGGTGCCCACCTAAGCCCCAAGGAAATGGGGGTTCCAGATGGTTGTGTGCTGGGAACTAAACTTGGGTCCTGTGGAAGATTAGCCAGTGCTTTTAACCACGGAGCTGTCTTTCCAGCCCTGTTTGTTTGTTTATTTATTTTTCAGACACACTCTAGCTCAGGCTGGCCTGAGCTCAGTGTATAGTTGAGGATGGCTATGAACTTCTGATCCTTCTGATTCTACGTCTGGAGTGGTGGGATGCTATGCCTGGTCTGCCACGCCTGGTCTTACATAGCTGGTCTTCCATACCTGGTCTGCCATGCCTGGCCTGCCACACCTGGCCTGCCATGCCTGGTCTGCCACACCTGGTCTGGCATACCTGGTCTGCCATGCGTGGTTTGAGCAATGCTGGGTAATAGAACCCAGGGCCTGGTGCATGTTAGGCAGTCACTCTACTAACTGAGTTACATCCCCAACACCATAGGTCTAAGTTTAAACATTCCTGCCACAGAGAAGCCTAACCCAGCTCTCCAGATTAGGCCTTTTTTTTTTTTTTCAAATACTCTTTTACTCTTTGCTCTTTGGGGGCCCGCCACCCAGCTCCCAAGGGAATTACACAGAGGGTTATTCTTTCTTAAGAATACCTAGATTTGGGTCTGGAGAGATGGCTTAGTGGTTTAAGAGCATTGCCTGCTCTTCCGAAGGTCTTGAGTTCAATTTCCAGCAACCACATGGGGGCTCACAACCATCTGTAATGAGGTCTGGTGCCCTCTTCTGGCCTGCAGACATACACACAGACAGAATATTGTATCCATAATGAATAAAGAAATAAATATTTAAAAAAGGAAAAGAATACCCAGATTTAACTTGGCTTGTTTATTGCAGCTTTTCTTTACTTGATTTATCCCATCTACCTTTTGCCTCTGGGCTTTTATTTTTCCCTATTTCTATATACCTTTCTTACTTCTTCCTCCGTGGCTGGCTGTGCAGCTGGGTGGCTGCCCCTGACACCCTCCTCTCATCCTTTTCTTGATCCTCCATCTCCTCTTCCCAGACTTCTATTTATTCTCTCTTCCTGACAGCCCCACCTATGCTTTCTCCTGCCTAGCTTTTGGCTGTTCAGCTCTTTATTAGACCATCAGGTGTTTTAGCCAGCAGAGTAGCACAGCTATGCTGTGCCTGTGTCAGACGGAAACCCCAAACGAGCTGGTATCCGATGCAGACACACTGGGTTTATTGAATACAAGCTAGCTCAGACTGTAATCCAACACACCGACACAGTAGGTGGGGGGAAAATGGTGCAAGCCTTCAGGGTAAGGGATTTTAAAGGGAAAACTGCAACCAGGGTGGCATTTCAGGATTGGATAAAAGTATACAACCTTTGAGTTTGTTGGTTAGGGTATAAGGGAATTTCAAAACAGCAACTGTCAGCAGACAAGAATTTCAAAATAGTGGTTAGTCAGATACCTACAAGGACATTTGGAGCAAGCAGATGTAAGCAGATGCTGTTTGTACACACTAGTGGGGTCACTTTGACCAGGGCTGGCACAGTTTCTTGGGAATGTTTATGACTTTGCTGGACTGCATTCACCCCCCCCCACAGTTAGGCCCTGCCTAAAATTGGGTTCTTTCTCAAAATGGAGTTTGTTCTGCTCCTTCAGCTTCACAGAGTTAGACAAATGCAACATAAAGAATGTAACACATCTTTGTATTATTAAGCAAATGTTCCACAGAAAAAAACAAATGTAACACATCTTCAACTAATATTCCACAACACCTGGCGTTCTCATTGTATTTGCTCAGGACCATTTTTTAAAATCATTTTGGTAAACACTTATTAATTTCTGTCTCCATTAGTAGATTATATGTCGCTTATTAGATCTTGATGAATATTAGTCGAGTAAGTCTATGTTGGATGCATGCATATAAAGTATCTGGTACCTACTGAATGTCTAGAATGTGGTAAATGCAGCTGTCGTGATTGGGACTCTTGTGTCTTTATTACTGTCCTTTTCTTTTCTTTTCTTTTCTTTTTCTTTCTTTTCTTTTCTTTTCTTTTCTTTTCTTTTCTTTTTCTTTTCTTTTCTTTTTTGAGGCCGGGTTTCTCTGTGTAGTTTTGGAAACTGTCCTGGAACTCCCTCTGATCTGGCTGGCCTTGAGCTCACAGAGATCTGCCTGTCTCTGCCTCCCGAGTGCTGGGATTAAATGTGTGCATCACCCCTGCCCGGCTCTTCCTTATTCTTACAGGGTCCTACTTAGCATGCTCCTGGCCTTTTGTTCTCTTTTCTGAGGGTTTTTCCTGGGAGTTTTTCCTCCTTCTAGCTAAATGGGTGTGGTGTCAGCCACTGTTCAGTTAAGAAGTGTTTTACATATGTTCTCAATTGAGTTCCCAGTTCTCTGCTAATAGTCCTCTCCTTTTTTACAGTTGGGGAAATGAGGCACAGAGAGGCTAAGAAATGAGGCTCAGGAATCTGGAGGAATGGCCCGGAACACTTAGGGGTCTCTCAGCATTCACATCTCAGCGCCTTTGTTGGGTGGTTCAGGTCACCAGTAACCTCAGCTCTAGGGGCTACAAGGTCCTTTTCTGGTCTCTGGGGCCACCCACACTTACTTATGTACATATTACTCCCTAAAAAAATTGAAAAAAAAATATACGAAGAAATTTGCTCAGCTTTCTCAATGCCCGGAGCTGTGATTTAAATATGCCTGTTTCTTCCCACAGCCGCTTCTTAGAACCACGGAGCTGTGGCGTCCGAGATGAACTGGTGTGGTCAGCTCAGGGGGTGCAGTGTATGAATACATCCCTAACTAGAGTGCTGGCAAGGCCTAGAGAGAGAGGGAGGGGTTAGTCACCAGACCTAGGACTTGAGGGACTGTGAGGAGAAGCGTGAGCAGAGGTTTCCTGTAGGTGCCGTGCAAGAGAGAAAAGTGGGGTCGGCAGAAGGAGCAGACTTCAGAAGTGAGCGACCGTCTCTTGTTTTCGTGTCCCTAGATTGTTTTGTGCCAGAATAATATCCGAAATCAGGCTCACATGAGCAGAGTTGTAACCCACGAGCTCATTCACGCCTTCGATCATTGTCGGGCTTACGTCCACTGGTTTACCGATGTCAGACATTTGGCATGCTCAGAGGTGAGTTTCATCGTAGAAGACATTTATTTTGTTCCCCCAGAACACTGAGCTCTTTATTCAGATACAACTATTTAAGCGTGTTCCTTTTCTTGCTGTTGTGACTTTAACATAGTCTTTTTGTAGAATTGCTATAAATGTTATCTTCAAGGCCTATTCAAAGTAACAATTGATTTAAATCATAATAAATCCTAATAAACTACTTTTCTTGGGGTACACTGAGGGCTAAATGCCATGCTTGTATGGATTTAAAAAAATATTAATTTTTATTGTTCTGGGATTTGAATGCAGGGTCTCTTGCATGCTAGTCAAATTCTGTTAACTGAACTATGTCCCCAGCCTTGGATTTGCTTTTACAACACTGGGGTAGAGCCCAGAGCCCAGTGCATGCTAGGTAAGCAATCTGCCGCAGCGTCAAGTGCCCAGTCCTTCCAGATTCTTGTTTAACCTTCACAGCAGTTCATCGAGGAAGGTAATTACTATCCTTGTCTGCTGTATGTGCAAAGTGAAACAGTTGTTTGGATTCTAGAGTTAGTGGCGGAGCTGGGGTCACCTGGGTTCTTAACTAGCTTGCTGTGTTTCATAGGCAAAGCCATTGCTTGCCCCGAGGAGAGCATCAGCCCCAACAGTGCAGTGTGAAAGGACACTTATCACGAGTAGGCTTGGGCTGCTCTCAGAAGTCAATGTGCTCCTAGGGAGACGTGTATTTAGTCTTGAATTTCAGCCTTTGAAGAGCACATTCTAGTGAGAAATTAAGGAATTTACAGATCTCAAACAGGTATGTATAGTGTAGACTGTTTTCTCCTTCCCTTGAAATAAATAACGTGTCCACACTGCATCTGACGGAAGCTCATTATTTGGAGAGTAGACTGCACCCGAGTTTTTAAGTAGGCCTCCCTCCCGTGTTATGAGCCTAATGCCTGCTAGTAACGTGTTAGGTGCCCCGAGGCAGAGGACTGCAACTGTGTTATTGCAGAGGTAACAAGAATCAGACCATTATCTTGGCAGTGAATTACCAAAAATGTGGCTAAAGACTATGCCATGGGGGTAGTCCCAGGACTTAAAAAAAATTTCTATTAACATCATAAATCAGAAACTGTGCTAACTCTAGTAGGGTGCTCTTTATTCTTTGTGTTTTGTGATGCATGATTAATAAAAACTCAGAGAAAGAAATTGGAGTTCAACCCGAAGGTCAGAAAAGCAAAGCAGCTAGCCACTGATTTTTACCTCAACTTCAGTCTGAGATGGTGATCTTGCCTCCAGGAATCTCAGAATGAGACTGTGTCTGAGAGCTGTCTCCTCCCGTTTTATAATCCTTGCTAGGGCTGGCATTAAGGGCGTGCACCACTGGGATTAAAGGCATGCACCACCCAGTTTCTATAGCAACTAGTGTGGCTCCTGGGATTGAAGATGTCTGTTACCACTGCCTGCTCTGTAGGGCTGACCGGTGGGGCTATTTTAGTCTCTGATCGTCAGGCAAGCTGTGTTTATTAAAATACAAATGAAATGCCACCACAGCTTTGTGTTGCGTAACATCTCACACACAGCTCTGGGCCTGTGATTTGTATCATGTAACATCTCACACACAGCTC